CTGCTTCTCCCTCTGACCCTCCCCCCTCTCATGTACTCCCTCTCTCTCATTCTCTCTCTCTCCAATAAAAATAAATAAAATCTTTAAAAAAAAAAAAAAGCAGGCAGAAAACCACAGTTAATATTTTGTGTATCTGTGTGTGATGGAATCATGGATAATTTTTATTTATTTTTTAGGATTTTCTGTATTTTCAGATGTTCATGCTCCTCAAAGAAAATGCTAACTCTGAAATCAGAAATTATCCCAAATACTAAAAAGAAAGATAATTATGTAATGTGATCGAGGTGCTTGTAAAAAAGAAACAAAAGGCTAAAAATGGAGTCACTTGTGTTAAACCACGGTTAATACCTAACCTAATTGCAGTTTCAGCCTTTCTCAGGAGTGGAATTTCCTGGTCAGCACTAGTGATTTAATCTGCCTGATAAGACCCTTGTAAGGTTAGGTAACCTTGCCTGAAATAATCTACTCTTCTAACTTCCTGTCCCACCATCCTTCTGCCAATAAACACCTCCCATTTTGAACACCTCAGAACTCCTTTCTACTTGCTAGATGGGATGTTGTCAGAATCATGTATCATTGAATAAAGCCAGTTAGATCTTCAAACTCATCAGTTGAATTTTGTTTTTTAACATACTAAATATTGCTACAACAGCAATCATATTACAATATGTAAATGTATGAAGTTAACATATTGCACACTTTAAATTTACACAATATTATATGTCGAATATATTCAGTAAGAAAAAAAATTTTTTTAAGTTTTTTTTTTCATTTGAGACACAGAGATAGAGAGAGCATGAGCAGGGGGAGAAGCAGAGGGAGGGGGAGAAGCAGACTCCTCGCTGAGCAGGGAGCCCGATGCAGGCCTCAATATCAGGACCCTGGGATCATGACCTGAGCCGAAGACAGACGCTTAACCATCTGAGCCACCCAGGTGCCCCTCAGTAAGAAAAAATTTTTAAAAGAAAAAAGGTAAAGATAGAAAACAGAGGAAAATGCTTTTGACTTCTGTGGTCTTTCTCATCAGCTGCTTGGTTCACCAACCACACACCAAGCTGGTCTAGTCTCTGAGGAATACTCAGGCTGCTGTCCTGAGGCATGAGTGCAGGAAGTGCCGGAGTACTCCCTGGCCGGGGGCGGGGGGGAAGGGGCGCGGTGGGGAACCCCTGCACAGCCGGCTGCTGATGTTCCTTCCCTACATAGGGCTGACTTTTACAAAAACCCCATCCTGGCAGTTAAATTTAAAGGAGACCCTTTCCAGGATGCTGATCTTACTTATCCCTCTGGACACTCAGCGAACGGGAGCCACCTTCCTTGGCTTCTCTCCTGCCTCCCTTCTCTTCCCCTAGACGGGGCTAGGCTTAGTTACCTAATTGAGGGCCTTTGCTTTTCTTTGTGGATTTGGATTTGTGTGTGTGAGTTTGAGTATAAAGTGTAAAATGCTTGCCCACCTTAACAAATTCAAATAGGATACAAGTGCAGGAAGTGAAAGCTCAAAGTCCCACCCATACCTAATCCTACTCTTTGGGGCCCTTGATGGCCTTTGTCTTTCCTTTTTTTTAATCTCTACTCCCAAGTGGGGCTAGAACTCAAGAGGTATGCATGCTCTTCTGACTGAGCCAGCCAGGTGCCCCTGTAGTTTTACATTTAAAGGGGTTCACACTGGGCTTATATTCTCATTATCCTATTTCCCTGACAATATAAAACAACCTTACCGTTGTTTGCTGTGCTTTGCCTGGTAACTTCCTGTGACTGGTTCCATGCACCCACATGTCTTTATCTTCAGCTGAAGGTGGTATTTGAGGTAACAGCTTGGGACATTTCAAGGAGTTACTCAGTTTGTCTGGGTATCTCCCATCTATATAGGAGGTATACATAAACTTCTGTTTTTCACCTGTCAATCTGTCTTTTCTTATAGGGGGGTCTCACCTAAGCACCTAGAAGGGTAAAGAGAAAATTATTCTTCCTCCCCTACGTGCCTAAAGCCTCACTGACCAGCAAGTTCAGTTTGTACACAGCCAGCCACTTTCCCTCGGGTGCCCCGGGAGGCAGGATCAGGTGGTGTTCCCACCAGTCACACACTGCCCAGGAGAACCCCTCCTCATGATAATCTGGACCCTAATGTGTTATTTGCCAGAGTAGCAAATCAAACTGTTTAGAGCAGTTTCCTCATCTATGCAGGCAAAAAGCAAGTCTGTATAGTTGGTGGGGCATGTTTTCATACTGCTGTCCAAGTGTAGCAGAATGGAAGGGGTTAACATAAAAACCAAAAGGAGAAAGGGGAGATTGGAAAAGTGACCACCTGGAAGAAGGGACAATGTCCAGAATAGAGAAGGGGCCCCTTTGCTGTGATACTGCAGGGGCAGAAGGTGGGAAGGGGTGAGGGTGGGGACCATGAGTAGGGAGAACACAGGGCAGGTCTAAACAGCTAGGTGGCCCTAGCTAAATAGCAGGGTGGGAGCCTCAAGAAGCCAGGGTGGGTCGAGTGGTTCGGTCAACATCCAGGGACTGCAACAGAGCGCAGTGAAGCACGGAGGCAGCAGAGGTGGGGTAAGAGGCTGACCGCTGCCCTTGGCTCTTCGGCCGCTCTCCCTCCGACAAAGCCCATTAGGTTGCTAGTGCAGGGAACACCCGCAATCTGGGCTGGAGAGGAGCCACATTCTGAGCTGCCTCTGTGGAGACAAGCAACTGGCCCTGGGAGGGTAGACGGGTCCACAGCCAGAAGCTTCTAAATCTCACCGCAGCCCCAGTACAGGTGCCAGAAAGCAGAAAGGACCACACTTACAACAAAGAGTGGATAACCTGTGAGTCAAAATGAAGTAAAAATACACAAATCTGGACACTAAAATTTACTTTAATTTATATAAATAAAGGGAAATGCTCTACTTAAATAATGATTCATCTGGGTCTTCTTGTAGGATACAAAGTTCTTCCATGGGAGTCTGATGATTTTGAGGCCAGCAACTCTTCTTACATGTGTAAATTAGAATTGTTCCAAATTCTACAGAAAGACCTGAAAGACACAATATATTCAGGATT